TATATCACGGCGTCCATATAAGGGAGAAACTTTGTTTGGTAAATAAAGTGGTTCTTACAAATATGTCACAAATCTTAAACATCTAAATAATTATTTAATTTTTCTAACAAATACTAATTTGGTTCTAAGAAAGCCACGCAGTTGTATACAAATATTCCAAAATAATCTTTCATGTTTAATGGACTGACAGGTGATCAAATTCCTCTCATCACGATACCTACACCCTCCTCCCCCCCCCCCCCCTTTAAAGAATACAATGTTTTTCTTTAGAGCCGAAATTGTCAATCGGTTGGTTTGTTCAGGTACGTATACATATAGGTGAGGGCTGGTGTTGAATTCCGAGAGAAATCCATAACCTACCGGTATTTTAATGTAAACCAATAATCATACGCGACATTTGTTATTCGCGAATCGTCAAATGAATGAAAAACAAGGTCTGCAACGATTAATATCTGTGACTAAGCTTTCCTATTTTATAAACTTTTTAAGGTCTTTTATTTTATTTCTAAAACTTAAAAAAATGTAACGATTTAATGTGTTCATTGGAGTGGTCAATTGAGCGTCGAAGTGTGTACTAATAGTTTCTTTGGGTGGGGGGAGGTACCATTTTCGGTGCATTTGATTCCCGGAATTTTGCATTGCACTTCCGACAATTAATAAATTTCACTTTTAACATTTATTATTTTCATCCCGGATTTTTCGACTATATTTCCAGCAATTTAATGTTATCAAAATAGATGGAATTAAAATTTTAATAGGATATAAATGGTGAATGGCTGAAAATTTATACATTTTATAATGTACATGGTACTTACGGCCTTGAGCAGTAAGGGATGGAATACGGAGAAAATGATCAGCATTCCACAAGTAAAATGTTAAGGAAATATGTACTTTTTCTTTGTGGAAAAGAGTGAAAGGGAATAATCTAAATGCGGAGACTACCCTCTCTTTATTTGATACATATATAGGTTCTGTTCTTCATTATGGATGTGAGATGTGGGGATTTCATAAAGCCCCACATGTTGAGCAAGTACATATTAACTTTTTGAAGAAAATTATGTCGCTTCGAAAATCTACAAATAACTTCATGGTTTATTTCGAATTTGGTAGATGCCCAATGTATTTTCAAAGAAAACTTCGAATTCTGAAATATTGGTGCTATTTGCTCAATACAAATAATTGCATTCTGCGGACATGTTATAAACAATTGTTATGTGAGTATGAAGAACAACAGGAAAATTGTACAAACTGGTTAAGTGCAGTTAGAAAGCGTTTTTAAAACGCTATTTGGTTTGAGTGATAAAATCCTTTAAAAAGAATATTGATGACTACCCTAACTCATCTGGAAAATCTGCAGCAAAATTTAAATTCTAATGAATCGATTTCGACTTCTTTATCAAAATTTTCCCGAACTTTTCTGTAGACCTCTGGCTTTTCCCTTAATTCTGTAACACTCGGAACTCGAGAGTTACCCGCTAGGTGTCGTTTCTGCATCACTTCCGTATAATTTCTACTCTGACATTTCCAAATCTTACATTTTTTACGTTTGACGATGAATACTCGGATTATTGTGGAATGCATAGACAATTAAATAGCACGATTAAAGACAAGAAATATCTACCGAAACAAGATATAATAACATATTTTGGTGACATGTGGTAGGTATATGATATTTTAGGCCCGATATCCGAGAGGGGTCCAGTGTTTACAAATGGAAGTGACTTACCTTCTCTATTTCATAATACCGCGGGTATGATTTATTAATAAAACGTTAATTCTACGTTATTTTTTGAATTTTTCATATGGAATACATTATAAATGTGTACTAGAAGATTAATTTATGGAAAAAGACGAATAAAAATATTCTTGGACCCCGGGGTGTATATTGGGGGGGGGGGGTGTTCCTGTCCACAAGCACCTGTGCAGCATTCAAGCTTGAAATACCATTCAAACAATACAAATCAGGAACAGTGCAAATCTTTTGAAATCAGAGGTAGTTTCAAGTGCCATGGATCTGTCATGTTGTTAATTTTGAACTTACCGGTTGTCAGTAAATACCGGTACAAAATTTACATGTCATGTTGTAAATTTTGTATTTACTGCCACCCGGTAAATTCAAAATTTATAGCATAAGAGATCCTATTCATGCTAGCACTTACCCCGACACGAGACCTTATACGGTCTCATCCAAAGGACCGATCTCCACGTTTTACTACTTATCCAAACTGGACATAAAACATTCTCAATGAATATTTAAATCATTGTGTTGAACCTAACAAATTATTCCGACTCGCTGTATGGTCTGAAAAAACATGGCTGAACTTATCCATTCAGAAACCCACAGATTGGGATTGCTCTTAACCAGTGTGTGTTATGGCCTTGATGCAAGGTCATTTGGTCAAGTCAAGGTCACTTACAGATAAACTGTAATTTCGCTACCGTATTTGTAGTAGTGAAACATTACTGGTATCATGCAGAGTGTGACATGGCCTTGACTCAAGTTCAAGGTCACTAAGGATTAGATGTTTTGAATGTATGTATGGACTAAAAGAACATGACGTGTCACTGTGAACTTTTCAAGTCGGTAACACACAGATTGGGTTTTATGACGAGAGTGTGTCATGGCTTGACACAAGGTCATTTGGAATGTTCAAGGTCACGTAAATTCCTTTACAGTTTTTCCTAGCGAAATATTGTAAGTTACAAGATTGCTTACATAGAATGTGGCATGACCTTGACTCAAGGTCACTTCTTCCTTCCGCAGCTCCAACGGAAGACCTATTCGTTGCTTTGCAACGAGCTCGCTCTAGTTGGTCTTAATATTCATTAACAGTTCATAAATTAGGTTCTAATCTGTTCCCCATTTATCACTATCACCATACAGTATATTAAAAAATTATCAATGCTTCTGTACTATTTTAATCCCTTGTTGAAATCTCTTACATTGGCCTCTCTTGGTCTTTGATGAACATTTAATAAGACAATTTATTTTTGTCTTATTTTTATTTATCTACTACTTACAAGTCTATCTGATCATTAAAACAATGAAAGTACTTTTTGTATTATACAATAAACGTTTTTGCATAATTCTCTTATTCTATTTACCTTTCAAGTACATTATTTACAGTGATAAATTATCAAAAGTAAATGGCAAAGGGGAATAACTCCTCTCAGTAGAATACAAACTAATAGAGCCCTGGCCAGGACCAGATCACTTGACCAAATGGTCCAGATGTTCAAAAATCTGGTAAAAATTCCCTTCCTTATAAAATTTTTTTACTCTATTTGCCTCAGATATGCCCAGGTGCGGAGAAGATTTTTAAAGAAATAATGCATTTTTACTACAGATTCACTATATTAGAGCCCCCCCCCCCAAAAAAAAAAAACACCAGAGCTTCTGACCCTGGGACCATAAGTTTGCTCATCATAACTAATCACTTTGTTTATCTGCTTAACACTAAGGAGCAAACAGGATTATTTACTAGAATTAATTCATTTTTGCTATATTATCAAGAGCCCCACCCTCACACCAGCACATCTGACCCAGGGGTCATGAAATTCCCTACTCTGAAAGAAGTACTCCTGCTCATCATAACTATACACTTAGCTTCTTTGCTTTTTTAACCAGAAGCAGAAAAGAATATTTTCAAAGAAATTTTGCTTTTTCACCTTATAATCAATAGAACCCCCCCCCCCCCCCCTCTCACCAGAACCCTTAAACCTGGGGTCATAAAATTCACAATTTTGAAAGAGGCATCCTTGCGTACCATAACAATGTACTTAGTCTGTTTAAACAATACCCAGGGGCAGAGAAGAAGATTTACAAAGAAATAATTCACCTTCACTATAGGATCTATATAGCCCCGCCCTAGCACCAGAACTCCTATCCCCAGGGCCATGAATTTCACAATTTTGGAAGAGGCATCCTTGCTTATCATAACAATGTACTTAGTCTGTTTAAGTAATACCCAGGTGCAGAGAAAAAGATTTTTAAAGAATTAAAACATTTTCACTTTATTATCAATAGAGCCCTGCCCTAACACCAGAACCCCTGATCCAGGGGCCACGAATTTCATAATTTTGGAAGAGGCATCCTTGATTATCATAACTATGTATTTAATGTGTTTCAATAATACCCAGGAGTAGAGAAGATTTTCAAAGGTATAATGCATTTTCACTATATAATCAATAGAGCCCCACCCTAACACCAGAACACCTGACCCAGGGGCCATGAAATTCATAATTTTGGAAGAGGCACTCTTGCTCATCATAACTATGTACTTAGTTAGTTTATCTAATACCCAGGAGCAGAGAAGATTTTCAATGAATTAATGCATTTTCACTATACAATCAATAGAGCCCCGCCCTAACACCAAAACCCCTGCCCCTGGGACCATGAAATTCACAATTTTGAAAGAGGCACTCTTGATCATCATAACTATGTACTTAGTTACTGAATTTAATACCAAGGAGCAGAGAAAAAGATTTTCAATGAATAAATGCATTTTCACTATATAATCAATAGAGCCCTGCCCTAACACCAGAACCCCTGCCACTGGGGCCATGAAATTCACAATTTTGGAAGAGGCACTCTTACTCATCATAACTATATACTTAGTTTATTTAATACCCAGGAGCAGAGAAGATCACCTTACGAATGCAAAAATGCTCTGACAGCCAGACAAAATCAAGAAGTGGTTGATGAATTGCTTAATATCGAATTACAGCAAGGCTATGTTAAAGGTCCATTTTCAAAACTAAATTATTAGAACTTTATCCCATCGTTGTTGCCTGTATCCTTTGGGGTAAACATTGGTGTGGCAAACGAGTAGTGTTTCATTGTGATAACCAGGCTGCGGTTCATATCATTACTAAAGGCAGGTCTAAGGAACCTGTTATCATAAATTTAATGAGAAGGTTAACTATATAACTTTGCCGTGTATAGTAGTTATATACCCGGTGTTAAGAATGAAATAGCTGATAGTTTATCTCGCTTTCAGATGGACAGATTTCGTCAGTTGGCTCCAGATGCAGACAGCATCAGCACTCCCTGCCCACCATTGAAGGAAGTAATCTGGACAGCGTCGTAAGCAGTTTGTGGGACCAATCCATTTCAAGTAAAACCCGAGCACTGTACCAAGTAAGACTTGACACTTATGTTAAAATTAACTTTACTTAGAGGAATTCACAAACAAACAGACGGTCCTTTACCTCCTATTTCTGAACAAATGTTATTATATTTTGTTGCTCATTATGATGATCATCTCCATTTGTCATATTCAACAATCAAATTATATCTTAGTGGCATTAGATTTTTCTATTTGAAAATGGAAGGTTTCAATCCCTTAGAGAATATGTCAGGCCAACCTTTAGAATGTTTACAAACAATTTTGAATGGTGTTAAGAAAAAACAAGCTTGTAAATCTGTTAAACGAACAAAATTACCAATAACAAGTTCTGTTCTCTGTAAAATTTGCGAACTGCTTCATTCTGGAATATTTGACATGTGTACATGTTACCTGTTAGAGGCAGCATGTACCGTAGCATTTTTTGGTTTTTTACGATGTGGAGAGTTTACTGTTTAATGTGAAAGTAACAATACTGATTGTCTATCAACACAAGATATCCTGTGCTTTGAGAATTCTATTGTAATTAACCTGAAACAATCAAAAACTGATCCTTTTAGAAAAGGAGTGCAAATTCAGTTATTTATAAACAAATAACATTATTTGTCCAGTTTCTGCCATGCATAAATATATATACTTAAAAGCTAGAACATTTTTCTGTGTACTTACACCATTATTTGTTACCAAAGATGGTTCCGTCTTAACCAGGTCTTTTTGCATAGAGAAGTTAAAATTTCTTTTATCGAGGTTAGGTTTCAATCCGGACAATTATAATGGTCATTCATGTAGAATTGGAGCAGCTACCACAGCACAGAAAGCTCGTATCGAAGATCATGTTATTAAAACATTAGGAAGATGGTCTTCAAATTGTTACACTACTTACATTCACAAATCTTCAAGGGTATTCAGCAAGCCCAGAAAAAATTAGCTATGACTCATTTCTAAAGCACGATTTTATATGAACTTTGTCATAGGACATACGTAAATATTTGCAAACATGTACATATTATTTAGTCTTATTTTTCATTGCTAGTTTTCAGTATGTGTTGCAAGTAAAGATATCAATTTTTAAACTATGTGAAATACTGTATGTTTTTTTTGTAATTTTTTAAGGTGGTGGCAAATTGTATTTTTCTTTGGTGTTGTTCTTTTCTTCCAACTTAAATTCAAACTTGGGGGCTACAACTGTTTACAATTTACTTTCAACACTTGTATTTGGCATTCTTGGTTCAAATTAAAAATTTATTTGTTAAAATTTTTTATTATCTCACCAATCTTCCCCCATGTTTTCTTGAGGGGAATAGTAATCTGTGTAGATACTGTTGACACTCGTTCTGAGTGTTCTTTTATGTCTTTTACAGTATGCTTCAAATTCAGCTTCAGTTTATTTCACCCTGGTTTTTGGGTGTGTTACCTTTTCAGTATGTTTCATTTTAGCCGATTATTCATTAGCTGTAAACGTTGTCAGTCCCAAGTGTCCAATATGGAATGTTTCAGTAATAAATTTGTCATAAACTATTTAATCTTTTGTGATATATAAACAGCTTATTTATATGATTTTTTTTTTAAGATTTTACTTGTGGTAAAAGTAGATGTAGTATCTATTCCCTTCCCAGTTTTGGTTAGTTAATCAGTACAGTACCTGTCGTAGATGCCTATCAGTTTGTAAAATAATGCTGAAAAATGGTGCATTGCCCATTTTCTCTTCTGGAGTTTAGAATCCATTCAATATCACTTTCACAGGGAAAATCATTGACAATGTATGCTCAATGCATAGTAAAGATTAGCTTAAAATGATATTCATTTCCCGGTACAATTAATCGTCAGAACGTTAGAAAGAATCAAATAAATTCTCAAAAAATGAAAGTAATCAATTAATTTTGCACATTATACTCAGACGCTGATCAGGGTCCGATTTTACAAAAGAACTTACGACTAAGACCAAAAGTTTATTCTACTTATAACTTTCTAATTTACATTAAATTGAAAATGATTTTAATCTTTTTAAAAGGAATGTAGAAATATATTTTTACGCTAGCAATTTTAAACAGAATCCTTAATTTTGCAAAATTTTCAGTCAACTTAAGTTTTTGGTCTTAGTCGTAAGTTCTTTTGTAAAACAGAGTTACGACTAAGACCAAAAACCTAAGTTGATTGTAAAAGTTTGCCAAATTAATGATTTTGTTTGAAATTGTTAACATAAATTTATCTTTCTAATTTCTTTTTTAAGAGATTAAAACCATTTTCAAATTAATGAAAAATAAAAAGTAATAAGCAGAATTAAATTTTGATCTTATCTTAAGTTGTTTTGTAAAACAGGCCCCAGCTGGATATTTTGAAAGCTGGCCAGAATCATAGCGCCATAGGCGCTTGATTCCAGGAGGGTGTATTTTGTGCATGATGTGTTTTTCTAGATATGTCTGAATATATACTCATTAAAATAAAAATAAAAAATCGCTGAAATTAGCACGTTTTAAATATATTACATTACTGTATATTAAAAGACGACAGTTGCCATTTTAAAATTATTAATTGCAATATTACGTTTTGAACGCATGTTAAAGCTTCGGGAAGCCTTAATATAGCTGCGTGTATAATTGTTTTGAATTAAAATGTGTACACCACTTAATATCATTAAGAAGATTGGTTGTGTACTTATGAAGAAGAATAATTGACATCAGGAAATATTTAAGTATAAGCTTTTTATCAGTCTATGAAATAAGAACATTAAAACATTATGGTAGTCTTCGCTTGCCTTCCAAAAAAAAAAAAATTACGGTCATTTTATAAAAACAAAATATCTGCTTGTTCTCTCCAGTGACAAAAAATCCCATCATCATAACTGTTTTTGAACCTAAAATAATATTTTTTTTCCTCAATCATTCCGGATTTTTTCGTCCCGTCAATATTTGTTCCCCGCTTTTACTGAAAGTGAGGGCTATTAATATCGGTCTATCTGTCCGTCTGCCTGTATTACTGTCTGTAACCGCCCGCGTGGCGCAGTGGTCAGAGCGTCTGCTCTAAGGTCGCTGAGTCAGGAGTTGATCCTTACGTCGCGGGATCGAATCCCATCGTGGGACGTGGAGACCGGTCCTTCGGATTACATCGTATAAACCGAAGTCCCGTGTCGCAGTAGGTGCTGGCATGAAAAAGATCCATCACTGTTCAATTGGCCCGGAGTGTCGAGTATAGGTCTGAATTTGAAGCCCTCCAGCGGCAAGTGGTGGCGTCTCCATAGGAATGAAATATTCTTGGGAGGGACGTCAAACAACAAACAAACAAAAAACTTTCATTTCCACCCGATATGTCGAGAAGCCTTTCAGCTTTTTCAGTGAAATTTTACACAACTCCCTATATCCTAAGGTAGACCCGTATTTATTTTGAAGTCAAGGTCGTAAATTCATACATCCTGTGTGTGTGTAAAACTTTCATTTCCAAGCAATATCTGAAGAAGCTTATGAGCTTTTGCAATAAAATACCAGAACTCCCTATGGCCCCGACCGCTCTTCTTTAAGACCTCCCCCCTTCGACCCCCTCCCCTCCTAGATCCGCGCATGTTTTTTTTTCCCTTAAGGGATGGAAACATATTCTCTAAATTAGCTTATTTTTATCTTAATGAGCTAATACCTTCAATTTCTTTTTTCAAAAATGAAACAAAAATCAACCAGTTTGTCTGTGACAACACAGTGTACTCAATCTGCCCTAGTGTATATACGAATTGCAAAATTATCTAAAATTTACAAAGTAATACTAAGGAACAGACTGTAATTTTCAGTTCAAACGTTTAAGTTAAACAGAAGCGTGGAGTTTGTTTATGTTTGCTAATGCTGAAATCTTAAGGCTTTGAGACGTTTGTTATTTTAATCTTGAACTCCATCGCCTCTCTGGTCAAGACTAGTGTTTATACAATCTCAGGATATCACATTAACTCTGCTATTTTGTATCTTTCTTTACCGGTATCTCTGTATGAATTAGTTATAGATTTGCATCCAAAGAGAAATCCTGTATTGTTCTTACTAACAACATTACATTGGCGACGATAATTAATTTAAACATTTAGTGTTTGAGCGATTTTTAATTTTGATTGAGATTGATTGATTGATTTTATAATGTTTTACTTCCCATTCGAGAATTTTTCACTCATATAGAGACGTCACCAGATACCGGTGAAAGGCTTCACATTTTACCTTTATTCAGCACTCAGGGCCATTGAACAGTGAGGGATCTTTATCGTGCCAACGCCTGTCATGACACGGGGCCTCGGTTTTTAAGGTCTCATCCGAAGGACCCGCAGCTTTCACTTCAAAGTGCCGAGCGCATAGCGAAGGAACAGTTGCTACCCATTTTTTATCGACTTAAGTCAGTCGCGTCCGATATTCGAACTCACGACCTCCCGATCACCAAGCGAGCGCTCTACCGACTGAACTACCGTGAACGGTAATTTTGATTGAGAAGTATAAATAATGGCTATTGGATTTCCTCCATTTCCGAAGTTTTATGTCTCAGATCAAATTTCTATATAGGTCAGTGTCACATTTAATGTCAAAACTGTCTGTCATAATAATTTTACTATGTAGATATTTAAATCACAAAGTTGCCCATAGTATACAGTTATGGAATGGGTATGAGGGAAATGGCAAAGTTATGGTTCCCCAAAGGAGGAAACTATTTCACGAGGCGGCGAAGCCGCCGAGGGAAATAGTTTCCTGCCAAGGGGAACCATAAATTTGATATTTCCCGAGTACCCATTCCATAACTGTTTTATTAAATCGAAACAATCATTGGCGATTTTATTAATCTAGAGACTCAGACTTTTTATTCAAAACTATATAAAGACATTTAAATAATCACAAATGCTTGTGATTAAAAATATTGTAAGATAACTAATGCATCAATGCCGAGGGAAATAAAATTATTGAAAAATATAAAATAATTTTAATTTGAGGGATTATCGTTGTCTTCATTTAACAAAATTCCAGTATGATTTTGACATCGCATGTCGAAATGTTTTGACGTCATAGTTACACTGCTAATAACATTACGTCACAGACTCGAGATTCCTTGAACGCTCAGCCCACTGTTCATTTTCATTGGTTAAAATCATTAATAAATATTCATGAAGGAGTAGTTTCAGGGTGTAGTCCTCAGATGAGGGAAAAAGTATCTTCTCAGGGAAATAGACAGTTTTATGATAATAATTTTATATAGAGTAGTAACAGGTATAATAATACTTTTTATAGGAAATTTTAAATTTAG